TCACGACGCCATCTTGAGGCGATAAATTGTATTTATAAAAATTCTTTCGTTACCTTCTCTGTATATATTCAAATGCTTGCAGTTTATAATAAACAATAAAATTCATTACCATAAATTAAACTCATTTCATAATTACGACACCAGAAGCCTCATAATATCGTTCGAAAAAATAAGACTATCTAAATCCCAAAATTTTTACAACTATTACTGTATAAAGTTCTTCAATGTTCTCCCAAAAGATTTTAAATGTCTTCCCCCTAAAGTTTTACTGAATAAATTAAAGACCTATCTAATTAAAAAAAGTTTCTATAGTATTGAGGAATATCTGAACAATAATTTTAGTGATATTTAATTGTAATTTAATTTATTTGTTTCTAACTCATGTTGATAGGATCATAGGAATTATCTTTATTATTTAAGATTAAGTTTGTATGGATAATTAGTACATGTAGAAAGTATATCGTATGTAGTAAGTATATCGTTTTAATTTTTTTTCTAATTTTTTTCTAATTAAGAATTTACTTTTTTTAATAAAATTCACGAACTCAAAATTTTATTTAAATAGACCGGAAAAACACAACTTATGTCAAAAATTAGGTCTTTTGAATTTACGTTTTTTTTCTTTTTTTTTTTTGGTAAAAAATCACTTATGTTCAGACCTATGATTTTGCCGAAAAATTACAAGTTTAAGCACGTCTAAGGGCGTTTTTATTTACTTTTTGAAAAATTTTTACTCAACTTGGCGGAAAAAATGTTTATTTAGGTTAAAAATGATTGTATTTGTGCTTTTTTTTAAAACTAAAACATGTTTTTGAGCAATAAGACATATTTTCTGTGAGGATTTTTTGTTTTTCACCAAACTTTGTAAAAATAAACCCAAAGACAAGCTTTTAAACACTTATTTTTATTAGAACCAAAATTTGTTTTTAAAAAATTCACTTATTTTACAAATTTGATTTTTTAATAAGAAAATCACAAATTAAGAACAGGGAAGATGATATTCTTGACATTTTTGGTTGAAAATATGCATTTTGTTCAAAATCTTAGTCAAAAAGAGGGAAAAAATGCATTCTTAAGGCAAAATAACAATAATTTATTAATAAAAATTTATGTTTTTTGCGTCTTAAGAAAGATAGAGCTAAGCAACAAGGTCTTTTTTTCAATAAAAATTTGCATCAGGAGTTTTTTTTTTTGATACTAAATTTAGTAGTGTTATCAAAAATCGTAAGGAGCGACTCAATCTATTTAAGGTAA